CGTACGATGGGCGTTTTAAAGGTGGGAGTAGAAAATAGTATAGGTATTATGTATCCAGTTTAATAAACGCCATTTTATACACGAATTTAATTTAGGCACGAGTTCTTAAATTAAAGAGTGTATAGAAAACTAAGTGCATACTATACTTTTTCTACGACAAATACTTATTATTATCTTATAAAAGCGTATGTTGCCTGGTTAACATGTTACGCCAATAGACTTTTGAAATACAATTTAGAAGAGAAATTTAAAAGAAAATTTTTGTTAAAAAATATGTAACGCAAAAGGGGTAAAGAAATAAAAAGCTATTTTCCAAAAAAAATGGTAGAGTCTTTTTAAATCTATTTAAAAGCAAATTTGGTTTTGGTTATAAAAGAAAAACGTTAGGTGTTTTTTCAAGTTGGCGAGGCCTAGTGTCGCGGGGGTTGTTCTGGAAACCAGAATACAGAATATTCAATTTATGCTCTTTTAATGAAAAAAATAAAATTCCAACCGGTATAAAAGTATTGGGTTCCCCATATAAAATCTTACACTTTAACTGGCCTATAACTTTTTTTTAATCTCTCTGGTTTTGTCTTCCTAACGAATGCGATAAATATGTTAAGCCCGTTTTCATTTTTTGCGAAATACATTCATACATATATTCGTATACATATCTGTTAGCACAAAGCGAAGCTGAACGAACGAACGATAAAGACAAATATCGACGGTATTTGGCATCAATCGAAAAAACAAATATCGCGCCCGTCAGACAAAGGGAAAAATAAATAAAAGCGGGAAAATATCGCATCCCACGAGGTATATAACATTGATATAGGTATTAAAGGGCCCCTTTTTACGTAATATGATTCGAACAAAGCAATTTCGGAAAATATAACTTTGCTGCGCCAAACCATAGGGATGGCCGGGGGCGGCAAAAGGGGAGACTAAAGGAAGGACTCCTCCGGCCAGAATCGTCATTTATTTATATTCCACAGGGGATGGCAGAGGATGGAAGTGAGAGTAACTGACACGCATCCTAACACCAAATGAACATTTTTTATGGATAAAATAAACCGATCATTTTGTCCTTTCAGCTATTTGATGGCATTTAATTAAGGTTCAATAAAACGAATTTGCACTCATGAATATTTTGTTATACCTTACGAAGTAATATTAACAATAGCAATCCCAATATTGTCTAAATATTCGGGAAGTTAATGTAACTTCCTGTTGAATGTATATACATATATGTATATTATGATATACATGTTATCCCAATCAACTTTAGTTTGTAAGACTCAGTATACAAAACAAGCTACTTAAATGAATTTTAAGAATAAAATTTGGTTCTACAAAATACACCATTTTATTACATTTTTACTTTTTATAAAATGTAATTTGTGTAGTTAAACGATTTTTTTTTGATAGTCTAAAAAAACAATCAATTTACTTCACATAAAACACGTGTGTCATAAAAACAGGGTTTTTCGTGCATTAAGCTTCGAGACGACGACCGCGTCCCTTCACCCCCTCGTCACTCCGGGTCGGCCACGGTATCATCAATCGTGTTTCTCCCGGATGCGATCATTTATTCCCCTCGACATCGGCGTTGTTTGTTGTTTCGCAAAAATAATCCTCCATTATGGCGATTGTAAAATACAACCCGACATTCAACCCCCGCCAACCTCCTCTTCCTCCAACCCTTCATACTCCCCTGACAGCTAGCGTTTTCTGCATCGTTTCCCTCCCACTTTATGCTCTCCTAATATTTGCTCTACAATCGTTTCCGATGTTTTTAGTTGGGTGTTTCGTGTTTTTTGTTTGTTTCAGGAAACACCGCAACCTACCTGCTAAACCGCTTGTTGTATCGATTTCAATTTAAATGCCACGTATTCTCCGGCTACAAAAATCTAAATTTCAAACCACCCTTTTGGAAAGCTTGAATAATACATATGGATTAGAAACAAATTAATAAAAAAAAATTAATGTCTCTAGTCTCTCTAGTTTTATTAAAATACAGGAGTGATCAGAAGCAGAATCAAATAAAAGTGAGGTTAAACCCATCTGGCAATGTCAGAAAAAATTACAAATAAAATTGACTTTGCGTTCGTCGCAACGCGTCGTGGATAATGTATGGTATGCAATTCGTTTTATAAACTTCTCAAGATCACTCATTCATTAAAAAATCTCTCCTCAACCTCCGCTTGTGCATAATTTAACTTATGTATTAAAATTGTATTTATGTTAAAATTGCATCTAAATAATTTTCTTGAATTAAAAAATAAATATATGTTGCACAATCCACACAACAAGGTCTGTTCGATCTCGTACTAAAAATACTAAAAATCACTGCAACACTGCACATCATCCAATGGCGGCCATTTTTGTTGTTTACAATTCTTGTGCTTTGGGTTTATACAGATTAATAATCGTTTTAAACGTTGTGTTTCTTACAGAGAGACTTAAAAGCCTTAAAAGAGACCTCAAAGTGGTAAGAACAATAATTTTACTCCTCTTTTGTAAAAAATAAACTCATCAGGGCTGTCAAATGTCAATTTGAAGGTTAATTTGTGGGTTATAAGAATAAGGTATATTTTTTACAAAAGAGGAGTAAAATGATGTGCAGTGTTGCAGTGAATTTTAGTATTTTTATTACGAGATCGAACAGACCTTGTTGGGTGGATTGTGATATGTTGATTGGTAACAATTTTTTAGATAGACTTCCACTCCTCTTCGCGCCGCAGTGTGTCAAACTTCTATTGTAGAGGTGGGAAGTTTAGTTCACTTTCCTGATTTCGATCTTTCGATCTCGTTCATTAAAGTGAATAGTACAAAAGACTAGTTCGTTTAGTTCACTGATTTATAATCGGATTTACGTAGTTTCGTTCGCGAACTACACTTCTCTAGTAGTTCAAGTGAACTATATTGAGATTGATTGATTGATTTGCACCAAAGATGTGTTCTTGGAATAGACCTATCTCATAAAACAGACTTTTGGATAGCGCGTGCCTGAAGAAGAGTGGTATCTCTTTCTCTTTTATATAATTAAAAAAAGACGACCTGCCTTTTCACGCACGCGCTATCCAAAAGTCCGTTTTATGGGATAGGTCTATTGTTGCTGGTCAAAATGGTACGCTGTTGCCAAGACCATTAAGTGGTTGATTTGGTTGCCTATTTTAGGGACAATTACGAATTTGGGTAATTCTTTTACAAACCGAACACTTTTTGACCGACACATCTCAGATTTGGCTGAAACTTTTTTTACGGATTCTATGTCGAAAAATGAGAGATACGTGTCCGAGGATTTTTTTTTCTCTCGCATATTTTCGATAATACAAGCTATCGAAAATTTGAGAATAACAAGTTTTTTGGCTTGGAGACTCATTTTCAAAAATTTATAACTCTGGTTATATTTGAGCTACAAACTTTTTTTTTTTCATTTTAAAGCTAAAGAACTGAATTTTGATAAAAAAATATTTTTAATAAATATTATTAACAAATTCATATTGTTATTAACAATTTCATTGTTTAAATCAATTTTTAACAATGGCCCCCACCTCGTATTAAGTTTTTAGTATTTTTATCGTATTCTCCGTCAAATTTTACATAAAAAACATGTTTTCAAAATATGGTACCTTTATTATTACTATTGTTAAAACATTAATTTGTATTGCGCGACACATAAAAAACGGTTTTTTGTTAATAAAAAGAAAACTATAGCTCGGATCAAAAAAAGTCTAATATATAAGTTGTAGATAATAAAAATATCTACAATTTTTATTTTATTTATTTTTTGACATAACCTTACTTTTCAAATAAATTGAAATTTTTCAATTTATTTGAAAAGTGAGGTTATGTCAAAAAATAGTTAAAATAAAAATTGTATATCTTTTTATTATCTACAACTTTTATATATGACTTTTTTTCATCCGAGCTATAGTTTTCTTTTTATTAACAAAAAACCGTTTTTTTATGTGTCGCGCAATACAAATTAATGTTTTAACAATAGTAATAATAAAGGTACCATATTTTAAAAACATGTTTTTTATGTAAAATTTGATGGAGAATACGATAAAAATACTAAAAACTTAATACGAGGTGGGGGCCATTGTTAAAAATTGATTTAAACAATGAAATTGTTAATAACAATATGAATTTGTTAATAATATTTATTAAAAATATTTTTTTATAAAAATTCAGTCCTTAAGCTTTAAAATGAAAAAAAAAGAAGTTTGTAGCTCAAATAGAACCAGAGTTATAAATTTTTGAAAATGAGTCTCCAAGCCAAAAAACTCGTTATTCTCAAATTTTCGATAGCTTGTATTATCGAAAATATGCGAGAGAAAAAAAATTCCTCGGACACGTATCTCTTATTTTTCGACATAGAATCCGTAAAAAAAGTTTCAGCCAAATCTGAGATGTGTCGGTCAAAAGGTGTTCGGTTTATAAAAGAATTACTCATTTGCGTGAAAAAAAATCCATTAGTAAATACGGATATAATGAAATATATCTACGGATTTTTAGTTTAGTTCGAATTGATTCGCTCTTTTTAGTTTTGGTGATTGAATCTTTTAGTTCAGTTACGAAATTCGATCTTTTGAACTAGTTCGTTCGCGAACTACACACCTCTATTCTATTGACTAATGTGTTTTGGTAAAATTTGACGAACGTATTTTATCTGTTTCTCTTGGATACATCGCGTGATTTATGTTAACACGAAGCCAGTTTATATTGTGTATTCTTTCGCCTGTGCTCGAGCGAAAGGGGCGGCGGTTTATTTAATTTGATCCGTTCGTTCTGCGAGCCAAGAAAACATCGATTCTTCTCCATTTTATACACACTACCCACTAACCGAGTTTAGAATTTAAACTTTCAACCGCCGTCGCGACGGAACGTTCGATTGGATTTTTCAAAGTTATTGCTGTTGGGTTTGTAAACTTGCTTAACGAATTGATTCCATATCTCATCCATTAAAGATAACTCAGCTACTTACTGTAAGTACATTAAAAGTTACTTACGTGTCCCAGTTTTTCTTCTTTCCTCCTTTTTATTGCTGATTCCGCGTCTGGAGGTGACCGTGATCTGTATTTGTCTCTATCTCCCGGTGATACAGAATTCTAAAATAAAAAAATGAACAAAGAATAAAAAATATCTAAAATACACCATTAAAATAAATAAAAACATACAGAGGAGGCTACGATTTCAAAGCTTCCGTTGTTATCCAAAAACAATTAATAAGAGTCATACGATCGCGGCCCACCGGCTACGACGCGGGTTGCCTATCGGCGATTATACGCCGTATTTGAGTCTAGCCTCCTTACGAGCAGGTGATGCAGTTTTAATATCCACCGTCATAATAATAATTATTATAATTGAAGGAGAAAATTGGTCATAGCCACATATTGTACTTATACTCAGCGTGAATTTTTGTCTTGATTTTTTTGTTATTGATAAAACACATTAAAATAACAGCTTTTAAAGACTCTGTATTAGAATATTTAACATTATGGTAAGGTTGACTTCCTTAAGCTTATAATAGTGTTGATTTTTTTGTGTTTTAAAATGTATTTATTATTAATTATTTTATACATATGTAAATATAAAAAAGTAGAAGTAAAATCTAATAATAAGTTGTATTAGGTATTTTTTTATAAACAATTTAAAGCCTTAAAGATATTTTTCAAAATATGACAAATGCGTCTAAAAAAATGTTAACATGCCCCTTACTTTTACTGACAACGAGCCGCCACTGTCTAAGAGGCTATTGGGTAGATACATTTATCTAAATAATTAAGTAGAGTTGTTTTAACGCAAAATTAGAAAATTCACGTTTATATGATATATCACGTTTATATGATATATCAGGCCTTAATTTTTATTTTTAAAAAGAACACAGGTTAACCCAAAGATATCCTGTCGTTGGGTTAACACATATTTAAACAATTTCAACTTGACCATAAAATATTAAAAAAACTTTTTTGATAAAATAAATAAAAAAAGTAATATTATTTAGTATTGTTTAATTATTTACCTACATATATCTGATTTCAAATTAGCAATGTTGTTTATTTATTAAATTTGAATGGGAATTTGGACATTTGCATTGCAATTTTTGTGATGCATATTTGAAATCTATGCATTGCTCGTATAATATCAGCCTCACTAATAAAATTAAGATGATTTGAATTTGTGTTTATTTGATAATCCTCACTCACAACTAGATTTGAGCTAGACAAGTAACCGGATAAAAGAACTCGGCAAATCCATTTACGATATCTGCAGGAGTAGTATAATCTGATATATGAATGATATATCATTGTGTAGCTCACTGGGAATCCTTGTGGATTTTTTTTTATTTTGTATAAAGCGCCAAAATATTGTTCTCAATACTTCTTAAATATTGTTTATAATGGTGATAAATTTTCCATTTACAATATTTGCGAAGTCTTGAAAATTCAGCAAAGTAATATTGATTCTGAGTACGTCTAAATTTTTTTAGGTACTTGGATTTTAATTTAAGGGAGTATATAATCTATGTTGTGAACCATGGTGGTCAGCATCAATTAGAGGGCAGTCATTAAAGAAAATGTCACATTTTGTGTTAGTTAAAACAAGATCTAATAAGCGGTTCTGGACCAGAACTTCTGGTGGTTTAAAATATTATTAACTTATTTTATGTTCAAAAATGACTACATTTTATTCAGCAGTTAAATCTTTAATAACGAATTTGTTAGCATTAAAATCACCCATAATTAGAATGTTTTCATGTTCAACAACAATACTTTCAAAATGATCTAAAAAAGCTTCATATTCGGCACCAGTAACAGGAGGAGGAATGTAAAGTAGGTAAATATAATATAAATAAATATAGGTATATATAAATAAACAATGTCAATTAAAGAAACATTTACATCCCAATATATTAACGAAAAATTATTTCTTAGATTAACCAAATCAACGATTTCTACCTTAAATCTTTGATCATAAGCGATCAAAACACCGCCACCTATAGAGGCAGTTTGTCAAGAATGACTCCAAGTTGGAGTCTCCAACAACTGTTTATGGTTATGTTATGTTATGGTTATGTTTATTATTCTTTAAAGCATTTTATCTATTTTGCGTTCATATAACACCGCTTTCGGTGCTTTAATGAGATACTTTAACCCACCCAAAATTTTGATTTTATAGGTTGGCTATACTTTAAATAGCATAATATTTTGCATATTGGTTATAATATTTTTATGATTTTTCTAGTACTTGCGAGACTTTTCTGGCAAAAAATTTTGTTTAGCACCAAAGAAAATCCTTTCTTTCTTCTTTAACATTAACAGCCGCTTATTGTAAATAAGTAAATTAAGGACGGCATGACGATTCGATTTTGACATTAACTGTCAAACCAATGACTGTGATACCAACTATATAAAGTAAAATTCGACCAAATTAAATTTAATGTATACAATTTTTTTATACAATTTTTGCAAAATAGATAAAATAGCATAAAGAACTCATGTCATAAGACCTATTGTCGCACTCGTCCATTATAAAACGAGCGTGCGACAAAATGACGTCTTATGACATTAGTTCTTTAATATACTATAAATTGTTTGACAATCGAGGTAAAGTACATACTAGAGGTGCAAATATTATATTTTTAAAATAAATTTAATATACCCAACTCATAACTTTTTTACTGTATTTTAGTATAAACTGTGAAAGAATTTAGCTATGTTCGGAATTTTTATTTTTGCATATACTTAGTTCGTAAATCTTGACACACAAATAACACTGGCCGACGGCCATTTTGGTGCAGGGTAGACAACAACTTTTTTAGGGTAATTTGAGTACGCCGAATCCAAAAATGACCATCATTTTGCTCAATCAGCTTTTGTTTTTGCGATGTAGACAAAAAACCATTTTTTTTATATGCGCACATTTAAATGCTTAAATATATTTTTTAACTTTTTATTTAAGCAAGGATAGTTGGTAATGTTGCTATGGGTCTTTATTAAACTGTAAAAAAATACCATATACATTGATAATTGTATTCTCTTTAAAAATCTTGCTTTCATCGAAAGAAAATCGATTTTTTAGCCAAAATTCGGAAATTTTTAAAATTCAAAGTGATACAGCATGATCAATTTTTGCCCGATTTAAATAAAATTTACCCTATTTGTAGCTCTATTTATCTACTTTATTGTGATAAAATTTGGCAACATGACAATAAAATCAACCAAAATTGGGTAGGTACTACGTGTAATACTTAAATAAACTCCGTGAATAGCTATTAATATTCACAGAGCCTATTTAAGTGGACAATTTTTGTGCCTAAGATTTTAGACCTGATTTTAAGTAGGTATGTCTAATAAGATGTCAAAAATATTATTGTTTTTTTTCTATTAGTTTTAGTGTAGGAGAGTATGAGTAGAGTATCTGCTGCTGCTCTCAATACTCTACTATCATACACTGTGCCGTGCTAAAGTAAACCCCCGTATCTGCAATATTAAATAATAAAGGACAAAATATACTTTTTATTGTTTTTAACAATGAAAATGATCTTTTATTTAATATTGCAGATACTGGGGTTTAGCTTAGCACGGCAGCACTACTCTCATTCAATTTTTGATTGCATTGAAATTTTAACACTATAAAGTAGATAAATAGAGCTTCAAATGGGGTAAATTTTATTTAAATCGGGCAAAAATTGATCATGCTGTATCACTTTGAATTTTAAAAATATCCGAATTTTGGCTAAAAAATCGATTTTCTTTCGATCAAAGCAAGAGTTTTAAAGCGAATACCATTATCAATGTATATGGTATTTTTTTTTTAGTTTAATAAAGACCCATAGCAACATTCCCAACTATCCTTGCTTAAATTAGAAGTTTAAAAAAATATATATAAGAATTTGAATGTGCGCATATCGAAAAAAATGGTTTTTATTCTACATCGCAAAAACAATAGCTGATGGAGCAAAATGATATTCATTTTTGGATTCAGCGTACCTAAATTACCCTTAAAAAGTTGTTGGTTGCCATACACCAAACAGAAATTTTATTTTTGTCGGCCTGTGTAATTTTTAAGGAAAATTGATAACAAAAATCCTTGTTTTTAGTGACTAATCTCTATAATAAAAGTGGTTTCACACTGATTTTTGACAAGTCCCAAACCCATTCTGGATTAATATTTGAATGTTTTCTTGAATTATAAAAATGGATGAAGAGATAATGGACCTTTATTTAAAGTAGGTTTAGGAAAACTAATTAGAATTTATTTCCACAGCATGTTTTGATTTGCTTTCCTTCCTGATTTTAATGTTTATAATGTTTATAGTATATTATCGGTGAAAGTAAATACATAGATGATAGATGATAAATTATCTGATGTGGCATGGGATGGGATGAAATTGGATCCAAAATAATTTTTACAATATAAAAATTGTATGGAAAAAATACAGCAATGTACAACTTACCAAACGTTCCTCTGCAGTCGTGCTTCCAGGTCCCTTAAGATCGCTGGGCTCTCTTCCATGTAGATCGGCGGGCTTTAGCAGCGGATGGGCGCCGGCAGCGACAGCGTGTGGCCCTCCGGGTGCCCCTGGAACCCCGGCGCCTAGTCCGGCTCCGAAACCGAGCAAACCAGCAGCCGGGTTCATGCCAGGCAAGCCGGGATGGGGGCCCATGGGGAGTCCTGGACCGTGCGCTCCGTGCGGCAATTGTTGTGCGTGGATTTGTTGCTGTCAACAATAAAAAAATGAGTTAGACGAGTTAATGTTTATTTATTGGGCGACATGTCGCGACATTTAAAGCATAAAGAGGTAAAGAAAGCCAAAGCGATTAAAATAATCTAAGTACCTGTAGCCAAAACAAATTTGGTGTATGTGTAATTTATGTGCTTGAGTTAATATAATAATAAAGTTCATTTTAAAATATTCTAGGCAAAAAAAAATTAATGGTGTTGTAAGAGTGTAAACTTTTTGGTGAACATGCACATGCCACTTTTAAATCAGCTCAAAGGAAATGTAAAATCTTGTGTGACAACAGGCAACCTCTGAAAAGTACTACTACCCCCCTTTGTGATCAAAAACGTCAACAGAATATTTAATAAAATTTAAGGTTTTAATATGCTATAGATAAACAAATTATTTAAACTCGTTAAAAATAATTGATAAACATTAGTTCACCTTTGCCCTATCACGAATTTGTAAGAGTTGACATAAAAAATGAAAAAGCATGATCATAAAAAACTTGATTACTGCGACCTTTAAATACCATTAATTAATAGTTGATAAGTTTTATCAAGTAATCAAGTAATGTTAATTATAATATCAATCAAATTGATGAAAACTATAAACTAGGTAGATATCTTAAGCACCTTAATTTTATTTAAACATTCTACCGACCTGCTCAACAAACAACAATAGGTACTCTAAAGAACTACTTACAAGCAACTGTTGTAGACCTTGTTGTTGTTGTTGCTGTAAACAACAACATAACAATTAAAACAAATTTTAACCAACACCAGTATAGTTTAACAATACCCAAACAATAATGACAAATGTAAAACAATAAATTAAAAAATGGTGCTAAGGAAAGTTTTTTTTTAGTCATTCGTTTAGGGTAATGTTAAAAATTGTATTTTTGATCGTTTTATTTTTAAAATAATTTTCGTCATGCACAAAAATTTTGTGGGTAAATTCAAATTTTAAAAATTAATCAAATACCTACAGTAAAAAAACTATTACCAGTCAAAATCTAAAAAACCATAGATTATCATTGTTTCGACTATATTAAAAACTAAAAATACAACTTACCTCCATGTTTCTGTGGATCATTAAGCGCTCACCCATCTATTAAAAATAATTATAGTAACTATCAAAAAAATCTTTATCGAAACTATGACAATTTATGTGCATAAACAAAGGAAGAACTACGAATAGCTAAATAGGAGGGATGAGGAATGTAATATTGGCCAAACTTACCCCGATAATGGCGTTTAGTTCGGTCATCGTGACCTGTTTGGCCCTTTCGACGGCAGTGGCCACTTGCTGTTGGTGTTCTTGGGCCAAAAACGGCAGCACTTGAGCTATAATTGCATTTAGGCGTTTCGCTATTTCAGTCTAAAACAAAAAAAACAACATGGTTGATATTCATTCAAAGTCATTAAAGCGAACATATTCTTGTAACAGAGATCTTTGTTTGTTTGGATGTGTGTATAGACTTTCCGGTTTCGACGCCTTTAGATATCGCATAACCAGAATAATAAATCCCGAGTTTAACGACTTGGACGTATTCAAAGAATGCCATCTTTTGTGTGCAATAATCAAAATATTAAATATCAGCGTGCATAATACGTACATTATTTTGAAATTTGCCAAGTCATGAATTGACTTTTGCAAATGTTATTTCATTTATAATATACTATAATTTGAATTTTTATTTTGTAAGCAATATTATAATAGAAGGGTTGGATACATTTTCCTCCAGCAAACTGTTCGTTAATGTAAAAGAAGGGGAGGTCGAGTGTATGTATTCCGTTTCGGTGGTTTTTATTTTAATACATTTTTTCGGGGGGTGGCCACCCCTTAAATCGAAATCAGTTGACACGTGAGTCTTATTCATATGCCACATACGTATTTATTTAAAACATAACGTAAGTCACGTGTAAGCATTAGACAAAATGTGGGTAGGTAGTGAATTTTAAAGAATGTCTTAGTTTGGGATTTATTCCGTACTGGAAATTACAAAATAATTTTCGCTAAGAAATTTCGGTTTTCTGTAGATATTTAAATATAACACAATTTTGAATACTGATTATTTTTCACATATAAAAGAAGCGTTCTTGCAATTTATTCGTAATGCGCTACGGCTTCCATTGAAACATAAATTCTCATATTATTGTGCAAATGTACGATGGGAGCAAATCAAAATTAGCATGGAAATGGTATGCTCATGCAAGTACATTTTTTCCGATAGGCAGCCGATTTAGTCCCAATGTATAAGGCCATAGCAGTCGGTTTATTTATTTTGCACTTCGACGAAACTTCAAAGGAAGGCAAATGGAAAGTCGAGCCGTTTGTCAACGAGCACACTTTTCTGTTTTTCACTAATGTATTCACTGCCGCCCGCCTGCCGCTATTCTTCTCTTTCTTCGTTTTCTTTTAGCCACATGCAAATTAATGACATAAAGCTTCGCCGTAACCTATAGGTTGAGAGTATACCTTAAAGTGCACTACTACACTCTAGTCCTCTCCGCCGCCACCCTTTGCCCACCCCCGGCTCGACCCCTTTCTTCTTTCCTTCGAATGTTCGGAATTATTTAGGTAAATTGTAAAAATACTAAATACGTAATGGAATAAACTGGAGCATTTTTATATTAATTGTGAAGAAAATAACGAACATGAGAACCGCATTTGTAAATAATAAATTGAAATGTTAGGTATCTATAAGTTAAAATTTTTGGAATGTTTTATCAAAAATTAGTCATTATGGAAAATTGTGTGGATCGCTTAGCAACAAACAAATTACCGTCACAATGAACGAGGGTAATTTGTCAAAGTCGTATTATTCTAATGTGCATGTATTAAAACGAGCGATCCAGTCCCCTCTCGTCGTTTTCTCTAATTATTTCGCAAGTGAGACGTTGCGATCGCGACTTAAGACCGCGGTGAGCTAGACAGGACCGGCTTCAAGATTATGCGTCGGCAATATTTACAGTAAGAAAAAATGGTGAAGCCGTTTATTTATTTTTGTTGGGGCCGTGCCTTAAAATTTTGAATTTGAATATACATTGTGTTCGGAAAATGGCGGGCCACGTTGTAAAGGGGGTTACTTTAATCAGCAAGACCAACTTTTAACGTTATGTGGACGTTATCAATAAGGAAAGAAGTTTCTCTTAGCGACGCGTTGCGCATGACTACCCTTGTGATTGTTTTCCTTAGCCGTTAATTCGTATGCCAATTTTATTATAATTTTATTTATAAAAAATCAGTGGGTGACCCATATATTTTAAGTAGGTATAAAAATAAAAAAATTAAATTTTATTTTCTTTGTCTAAATTTGTTAAAAATATGTATTTATATAAAACCATAAAACACAATTTTCTAATGACGCTTTAAAAATAAAAGGTTACAATTTCTTAATAATTACAAAGTGATGATGATTTATAATTTGGATTTTTTGACAGGAACTGTCAGAAAATACATCTGTCTGACAGACGGATTTAACCTCGCTTTTTCCCAATTTAAATAAAGCTAACTTCAGCCCGTGACTAAAATGCCATAAAGTCAGTTTATCAATGTTTGATAAACGAGGTGCATACTTTACTTTTTCTACGACAAATACTTATTATTATCTGATAATGATTTAAATCAAAAATTTGTATAGAGCGCCATCTATGAAACAATAGGGGAATCTGTGTGTCACCGTCAAATGTCAAATTTTTATATACTTTATAAACACAAATATAAAGGTTATAAATCGAAATGTATTTCTTGAAAATTGACAGTTTTTCACAGTGAAAGTAAAAAAATGTTTTATGAGCACTTTACAGTGGAGTCCCTGCCCGAATTTAAGTTAAGAAACTATTGAATACTTTTGTATTTTAGTATTGTGATAATAAAATAATTTTCACATTTAGTATTATTTTACAAGAAAGGCACTTTATTTTAACGATTGTATGACATTTGACAACCGTCAACTAACTTAAAACTAACTTCAGCCCGTGACTAAAAACCTGTTGCTAACTTCGGTCCGTGACTAAAGCGCCATAAAGCCACAACTTGTCAATGTGTATTTAAAAGGTCACTTAGTATCATGGAAACATGTACGCGTTTTAAAGGTGGGAGTAGAAAAAATAATAAAAAACTGTCTAAAAGCCTCCTTAAAGTTGCCTAAAATATCCCATACTTTATAATTGTTTTAAAATCTCCTAAAACTATTTAAAATGACCGAAATATTATAAGAGTATATAAAAATAATCCACATTGTATCTATTAAATTCTTTAAAAATGTCCTTTAAATTGTTTAAATTAACTCAAACTTTTAGAATTGTTTAAAATGAGCCAAAACTAACAAAAAATATCGTTAAACTATCTAGAATGACCCAAACTGTATTAAAATGTACTTAAGTCCAAATTTGTTGAGTGTTTAAAATGAGACAAATCTATTAAAAAAATTTCCAAAACTATCTAAAATTCTATAAATCTGAACTTAACTAAAACGTGGAAATTATCAAAAACAAAGAAAACTTTTAAATTTGTTCAATAATTAAAAACAAATATGCCTCCATGGAAAAGAAGAAAATATTTAAAATGATTTATAATAATTATTAATAACCACTGTCTTACAAGATTAAAAAAAGATTGCAACAGGTCTGGGATATTGAAAAATGCGAAAGAAAGGCAAGGTTAGCCTAAGAATTGTTTCGCTTAATGGCCAATTTTCTGTTTTTTGATGAAATTGAAAAAAATGCTTGGTTTTGTTATCATTTAAAGTGAATGCAACACCAATCCACGAGATATAAACAATTCGCAAATATATTGCGCAAATTTTAAGGCTGTTTGACTCATTCATTCAAAAGATATGGTCGAAAAGGTTAAAAAGCAAATCTAACGAAACCTCATTTTCGTCATCTATGTCGAACTTCAAGGTCGAAAATAAATACAACCGTACGAGATAACCCCCAATGTTGTAGAAAATTTAATTAATAATGAACATTTTGATATATTTAGTTTCTAAACATTGTTTAATATTTACGTTCATTTTCGCATTTACAACCTAATTGTCAAAAATAATATTTTAAGTTAAGTTAAATCTTTTAAATAAATGTACCTTACGTTGTTATTTAAGTACTTGATCTGATCAAGTTGATCAGGGATTTAAAAAATATATATTAGTAACACAGGAGTCACATCCCTAAAGCCGACCCTGTCGGTGGGTAATGATTTTTGTAGGTGCTACCAGTTGTAGAGTAGGTAGTAGGTGCACGAGTTGATGTCTGTACTTTGATAATTACTTTATAGTTAACATGCTGAAGGATACGGACGCGGTGAACTAAACTAAGTAATTACTTAAATTGCAACACATTTTGAACTATGCAAAGGGGTGAGTCTATCTACACGCACAGTAACACCAACCAAACGTGATTAAAATCATTTGTTGCTTACAAACGAACATTTTTGAGTTTGTGATTGAGTTATGCAGGGTGTCTCCGAGTTCCATCCAACAATTTTAAAGGTTCATAAGAACATGGGGTCAAAAATGTTTTTAAAATGTAACAAAAATACCTAATAAAATAACGAAGGGAATGGCCCCTTGACCCCCTGATAATATGTTAATATCGGGTCTGCAACAGAAAACTGTTTAGTGCCATCTTCAAAGGGGAGTAGCTTTTTTTCATATTTTGCGCCGTAGAATCACCCTTACATTTTTTTTTTTGAAGGAATTTAACGCAATTTTAAAATATTTATGTCACGACTTTTAAGTACCTATAGGTATACCTACCAATCATTTCAGTAAAACGAAAAACAAAATTATCCTTTTTATAGAATATTTTTAACTTTTAAACAGCTAAATAATTCTGAACTGGCTCCAGCGCTTTTCGACCCTTTTTTAAGTAGAGTCGATTTATCTCATTTTCTATTGGTTAAATAAAAAGTGTCCAAACAAACTGTACATAGATTTTAAGAAGATTGAGGGTGCCAAACAAAAATTATATTTTTTATATTTTGACATTATACTTATCGATGACTTTCTGCCAAAGTATCTCAACCAACATAACTGAAATTTCGGGAATTGAAAACAATTTTTGTTTTAAAGTCTGTTTTAAATTAAATATAGTCTAAAGGTTTTATAACAAGTAAATAGCTTATAATCATATCTATTTACTTGTTATAAACCCTATAGGTTATACAGGGTGTCCCATAATTAGCGTGCAATCCTTTAACAGCAGATTCTACGTTCAAAAATAAGAAAAAAAGTTCCTATAAACATAGGATGAGAAATATTTTCTAAGGGAGCTACAACCCCTAAAAGAGGAGCCCCTGAAGATAGTTTTTATTTAATATATCCAAAACCGTTCAAGATAGAAAAGTAAAATTGTGGGAATTAATCAAACTTTTCATGGCCAATAAGATGTAATATTAAAAATTCAAAATTTTCATAAGGGGGGGGTCAGATAGATAGGGCATTGGGGTTAAAACCACCCTAACTTTTTTGTATGTGTCTCGTGTTAGGATTTGATGTATATTTATAAAATTAGTATTACACACAAAAAAGGTCCTTTTGTTAAACTTTGATATTATCCGCTTAAAATCGATTTAAAAGTTACCTTACATAGCATAAAATATCATAATGAATTCACAAAAGAATCAGCGTAGGCCATGGCCATCTTTGGGAAAAATTATTTAGGACAGGTGACAGTTTCATGTAATATGTGACAGGGTGTTTAAAAATTACCCATGGCCATGTTTAAAAATTGTCCATGGCCTACACTGAATCTTTTTCTCTAGTTGTGATTTCATTATGAATTTTTAGGCCATGTAAGGTAATTTTTAAATCGATTTTAAGCAAAAACGGTGCATGCTATCGAAGTTCATCAGGATAACCTTTTTTATGAAATTTTATGATCTAATATCAAATCATAGTACAAGATATGTACAAAAAAGTTAGGGTAGTTTTACCTCGACTCCCTATCTATCTGACCCACCCCTTATGAAAATTTTGAATTGTTATTATTAAAAAGTTTGATTAATTCCCAAAATTTTACTTTTCGATTTAACGGTTTTGGAGATATTAAATAAAAACCATCTTCAGGGGCTTCTCTTTCGGGGACTGTAGCTCCCTTGGGAAAAATTTCTTGACCTATTTTTATAGGAATTTTTGTAATTAGAACCTGCTGTTAAAGTACTGCACGTAAATTATGGGATATGGTTTAAAACAGACTTTAAAACAAAAAATGTTTTCAATTCCCGTAATTTGAGTTATGTTGCTTGCGATACTTTGGCGCAAAGTGATCGATATGTTAAATAATTATGTTAAATATGTTTTGTCTTAAAACGATTTAATTTTATTCAAAAAGACCGCCAGGAATCTCATATCTAAAATCCAGCCAGTTCGGATTTTTTCGATGTCATAATCATAATAATACATATAATATATATAACACCATCATGGTCAAAATACAGATTGACTGTGCTAAAAGTAAAACATGTATCCCAAAAATGTTTGGTGTTTTGTTACTGTGCGTCAATTCGCGATGAAATCGATGTCACGTTTAGCAAAAAGAGCGGAATTTAAGTGAATGATGGCAGCGAGTCTCTCTTGCCTCTCTTCTCTCTCCGGGTGTTGTGCCCGCCTCGCGGCTCCGGATGGATGTTGTTGCCTCGTTATAACGACACTCGTAAACCCTCAGCAGCGGCAGCTAAACTCAACTCAGCCAGCGTTCTCACTTCTTTTCTCTTTTTTACTCGCTCGTGGAGCGAGAGCTGGCTGAAGGATACGCGACAACGTTTGTCATGCAAAGGCCTCTTCAAAACACCATTTAAGAAATAACTAACACACAACACTTCGCGCCTTTGCCATACCTTTTTTAAAGCGTTACACACTGTTGTCTAGTCAATGTAGTCTACACACCAAATTGAAATTCAAAGATTGTCTTAAGAACCTTTTACACTTTTCACTTTGCAACCCAATTTCTCGTGTATGTGAGAAATTGGATGGTTTGTGGAACCGTGTATGTATTTTGACATAAACTAAATAATAAATATCTTACCTGCTTGTGCATTTCCACATTAAGGCCATATGACATTTCGTAATACTGAAACAAACAAAAAAATCCATAAGTATTCAATCATGTAAAAATAGGATGAGATTTAAAAAGCAGCTCGAAATTAAATTACAGAAGCTCGCGTTTAAAATATCGCATGTCGCTGTGATTTACGTTCATATTTCTTTAAAACATTGCAGATCCAATAAATCGACAGATATTTATGTGTTCCATTTGAAAATGTCGCCGGTTGTATATCACCGAAGCGCGGCGGGTGAAGGAAAATAGGGGGGTTGCATAATATTGTTTTCGTGTAATAACCTTATTTAAAGGGATACCGAATCCAGTCACGTATTCTTCCCGTCGTACTTAACCAAGTTTGGTCCCCGCCAGCCCCTCCTTCTTCGTCGTCGTCGCGCCGAATTATAACTCCCCCCGCAAATCTTATCTGATCCCCTCTGTATAGGGGCGATTCTCCCCACCTCAAACCCTACAAAACCACAGACGGGTCGTTTATCTTTCCTGCTACTTCGCCCGCTACTTCTTGTCAAGCCCTTTATTTTCAGATCTGTAATTTTTCTGTGCCGCAATTAACCAGCATTACGATCCAGTGGCGTAACCAAAATAAATAAAATAATTTAATGCAATTTAAGTTTTGTTAGCAACGCTTTTTTACGGAAATTACATTGAGATGTTTCGATTTTAAACCAGTTAATTGATAGTGAATGTGGTTGTTAATATAGGGGGGGGAAAGCAATTAATAAAAAAATACGAAAAATTATTAATTTACACAAATATGGAAAATCAAACAGCAAAAGCGGAATATCCAGACACAGTTTTCGAAATATATTGTAAAATTTTACAAGTCGAACGGTTCAGCTGCCTAAAAGTCAAAAAAGTCAAAATTAACAGACGCTGCAGCTTTGACCAGGATTTTTAAGTTCAAGAGGCACAACTATAGTATACGGATAGTTGAGTGTACTCTGGAGTAAGGCTGTCGGAAGAAATGTTTCCATGTCACTCAGCACTTCTCAGAAGCCAGAAAACTAGGATTTTTAAATCTAAAGGGGCAAAAAAAAACGTTATTGACCCTTTATCGGAAGCACGACAGGTTGAAATGGGCTAAAGACTATCGAAATTGGGATATAGAGAGTTGGAATAGAGTAAATTGAAGTGACAAGTCGCAGCTTAAAGTTATCATCCTGATTGTCTTAAGCGCAAAGTTAAATTTTCATCTTCGGTATTATCTAGGACAAATATTTAGACATTCTAGGAGTCTTTGGAAGAGAGCACGATTTCTGAAAATTACTTCACCTTTTAGCAAGACGGTGCTACCAAAAAATTGCTGAAATGGTTTTAGAACATAAACTACTTCTTTTAAAATGGGTGTCTAGTAGTTCTAACCTTTCGTTTATCGAGACTTGGTGGCACGTGCTGAAAATGGGCTTGCGATATATTTTCAAAATTTTATTTATAAACCAAAACAGGACAATAATTATTATGCCTCTATTGGTTTAAATGATCTTAAATACAACCCAATAACTGATAGTTTATCCGGTGGGCCAACTGAATCTGTATTTAAGGCAATTCCAAAATAGTTTTAAGACATTTCACCATGTTATTTTATGGTTTTGGAGACTCCAAATTGGAGTTAAAACATTTTTTTAAGCCATTCATTCAATTTTCTTATATTTTTCAAGAAACAGGAAGTTCCTTGACGCATTACCTGTGTGTGGTATTAGGGGACATCCATTAATTAAGTGAGGCATTTTTTCTGATAATTTGGACCCCCCTCCCCTTGGTGAGATTTGGTGAGATGTGATAGAATCCCCCCTCCCTATCCCTCACGTGAGATTTTAGCTATTAAACTTTCTTTGCGGACATGTAAAAAAATTATTAATTTTGAATTATAATAAATATTTTTGAAACTAAAAGTTGACGTGAGATTTTAAATTTACAAACAATAATAGCATATGGCAACAGCGCGGCATGCAGTTTGATCTACTATGTTTCAGTAGCTCCGAGGCTGTCGTAGGGAAGTGTGTATAGTTTTTAAGAAATACATTTTCGCCATTAACTGGAATTTAATGGATTTTAAAAATACTTAGTTTTTATTTGCAGAAATGCGTTAAAACAAAACACAGATCATACGACAATGATACGGCAAGCAAACAAATTCAATCCCTACCATAGTGGGCGGGGTTTGGCACTTGTTTTATTTAAGTGTATTTATTCGTTTTAATAGTCACTGTATTAACCTTCCCACAGTTGATTTAAATAAATATGGGTCAACTAAATTAAGATAGTTAAATTAACCATTCCTTTTTTCTGTGTACATAATATGTAGAAGTCGCAAACTTCTGACTTTTTTCCTTAACACATGAATATGTTCTAAGTTAACACTTCTTTCCACATAGCGTTTCTAAGTTAATAAATCACCGTGGTTTGTTAACATAAATTAATTGATTTAAGTAACCCAAAAACTTACACCTACTTAAGTCTGGGGATCATGGAGGTCAACTCTTATCTCCAAACTATGGACCAAACTTAAGTACCTCCTCTAAAAAACTTTCAGAGTAGGTCACCTTTACATTTGAGTTTTTGTTGTAATAAATAATTATCTATTATAATATAATAATTATAATTAAAGTAAATACATGTTAAAAATGCAATTTTCAATTCATTAAAAAAATGAGTATGAGTATGGGGACGTATGGCAGGCCTCATCGGCATCGCCTTACTTGGGATTTTGTTTTACCCCCTCATACGTATTCCACAACTGCACAGCATTACCTATGTTTGTTAGATCCGAAATATTACGCCGGCTGTTAGATCTCCCCTAGGAGGTCGTGAATGACTATGCCGATGGTTAAGGCTACTCCCGGAATTTTGTCGCCGGGCCGGGCCATACGCCCAATTTAGACTAGTGGAGTGCGGGACAAGGAGGGAAAACATGTTGGTTTTTGGAGGACATTGAACTGACCCAAAACTAGGTACAAGCCGAAATCCTCCTCAACCAGGGCTTTAGTAATAACCTCATTAATCCTTGTTGGTGTACTTCCTGTTCGTCGGTGTCCGTGACTCTGTCCGAGTCGGATTCCGGAAGTTGGTACAGTTTTTCCGTCGCTTCCCGCATAAGGTTTTTGTGGGAGCTAATGTATATCAGCTTCCGGAGCTTCCACGGTGGACTGTGTTTTTTTATAAACGTTTTTAACATACGCGTGGCTGCGTTTAATAGTTGTTTTGTTACAATAGATAATTTAAGTAAATATATGTTAAAATGCAATTTTCAATTTATTAAAAAAAGTTCTAAAAGTTATTGGGTACGCCATTGGTAAGGATCATCAGCTGGTCTTTCTCGAGCTGGCATTTTCTTCTTCTTACTTAACTCGAATTAATTAATTACTTTAATGCCACGTCGTTTTTCAAAGGAATCCGTTCGTTCTTTATTTCGCTTTACATCGAAACCATTAGGGCTGCGAGATTGGAAGCAAAGAAAACATTAATCCCGATGTTAATTACTTCCCATTATTTTTTTGTTATTATGACAGCTACAAAATTTTATTCAATTTTATTCTATAATTAATAGTAACATAGTTTTTTTAATTACAGTCAAATATATATATAGATAAATTTTAAAGTTGGGTTAGCAATCAAGATAATTGATTAAGGAAGTTATTTATTAACCGCCGTGAAAATACTTTGAGTAAGTTGCCACAATTATTTAATTGGAAAAGTTGTTGCAAACAGAACAGAGTGGGTGAAGGATGAATTAATAAGTGAAAGAAAGACAGAGAAAAAAATATAAGCTGTGTTGAACCGAGTTGGCAAAGTTTTCCAGAAAACAGGGCAAAGTTACTGTAACAACAGGCGAGAACAAAAAGTTGTCGACTGGGCGGAGTTAAGAGATAAATTTGCTCGTTTATTCATAAGAAAAAAGTTGCACGGAAAATATGGTTAAGTTGGAAATATTATCTTCTGTTATTATTTAAAGTTTAAAAAGTTTAGATGCAAGTTTTCTTACTACCAAATCATTAATAATATTATACAAAAACAAATTTGTACGTTATTATTGTATTTGAAATATCAAACAATGTAAATTAATTTTACAATACAAAGAAGCACAAGAAAATAATAGACATAAAAGAATGGGGGAAAAGATGGAATCAAGATAGCTTGAAGGCAGAAGTGGTGGTATTTGTGTAGGTGACGAAAACTACCTTAAGCTGAATAAAAAGTTAAGCGGACAAAAATAATGATGCAAAAGAAAACGAGCGATAATTTAGTGAAAATGAGAAACGCAGTTTTAATCAAAGAATGAAAATTAACATAATTGACAATTTTATAGGTGTTGTACTTTTGCTTTTGAAATTAGGATGTTATCTTAAAATAATTACAATTATTGTAATTTATTTAAGTAGGTATTTCAATTAAAAGTGAATTTGGTCTAAGGGGTCTGCCACATAGGGACAGATTGTGACACCGAGTCAAATTATTTTATTAACATTTTTTGTAAATTTCTTTTGATAATTTGTTAAAGCATTAACAAAGTTACTAATAAATTTTGTACAATTATTGTAAACATTCGTTTTTAAGGGATTTATTTCCCAATAAAATATAAGTATATGGTAACAATCAGAGCTGGCCAAGTAGTTAGTATTCTTTTACTCGTATTTTAATTACGAGTAAAAAGTACTCATACTTTTTCATTTGAAATACTTATTACTCGTACTTACAAACCAAATTCAATGTACTCGTAAAAAATACTCGTGGAATTCACGAGTAATAATATACTAGTATTTCTGTTTATTATATCGATGACTTTTTGCCAAAAGTATCGTAAGCATCAAAACATTTAATTATACTATATACAGGGTGTTATGTAATTAATGTTATATATTAAAATGGGTTGTTCCTTAGGGTCCATAAAGAAGCACCTGAAACTTTTTTTTTCTAAATTCCCAAGTCTAAAAATAATTTATAATAACCTTTATCCTACCAAAAAGTACGCCACTGATCGACTAGGAACTTTAGGTTAATCTGGTGGATTT